AATAGATAGCCTCGCCCCTCCCTCGACAGGGGTTGAGCCTGTCACGGACTTTGGTGATTGTCGAGACGACGAGGAGTTGGATGCCCTATTCACCCGTACAGAGTTTGACCGAGCAATGGAGATGATTAGGAGGGATTCATCCCCTGGTATGGACGGCATCAAGTACAAAACTATCAGGGCCCTCCCGGAGAACGCTAGGAAATGCTTATTAGACATTTTTAATAGAGTGTGGATCACGGGCTCCTTACCCAGTGAGTGGCATAACTATCAAGTGATTTTTATAGACAAGACGGGACGATAAAAGGTGCGGCCTATTTCACTGTCCTCCTGTGTCGGAAAGTTCATGGAAACGATGATAAATGAGAGGTTGATCTAATGGGCGGAGAAGGAGGAAAGATTTAGTCCATCACAGAGTGGTTTTCGCAGAGGCAAATCGTGCGCGGATAATCTTACAAGAATCGTTGCTGACATCAGAACGGCTATGTGCGTGGGCGAGTACACCCTTGCTGCCTTCTTGGATGTCTCGTCTGCGTATGACTGTGTCGACTATCGGATCATGCTGGCGAAGCTGATAGCGCTGAACTGCCCCCCCGCCATAGCCAGATTCATCAGCAACTGGCTATATTGGAGAAGTGTGCGATTTATCGTAAACGCCCGGGATTTCGTGGATCGCCTCGTCTACAGGGGGCTCCCGCAGGGCGCTGTGCTGAGCCCGATATTGTATTCGCTATACACGCAGGATCTGTGCGCGGGCCTTCCGGAGGGCGTTGAGGCGGTGGAATTTGCGGACGATGTGGGACTTTATGTCCGCGGGCCGGACCGGGAGAGAAATCGCCTCATATTGCAGCGTGCGGTGAACATTATAGCTGAGCGTCTGTGCGGAGGACTGGATCTTGAACCCAGGAAGACCGTCCTTGTGGAGTTCTCCAGGAGTGGATTTGTCGACAGAGGGATGAGCATCCGCATTGGTGAGTGTGAGGTTCCCAATTGCGGAGCTGCCAAATTTTTGGGAGTATGACTGGATAATAAACTGAGCTTCGATAAACAAATACAGGAGTTGAGAGGCAAGGTAAGCCGCGCCAATTCGATTATCAAGTGCCTCTGTGGAGTGTCCAGGGGTATGGAAGTGAACACGTCTTTGATGCTGTATAAGAGTCTCGTTAGATCTATCATTGACTATGGAAGTTTTGTATTTTTCCCCAGGAATCCCTCGTTACAATTAAAACTGGAAAGAGCCCAGTACATGGGTATCCGCACGGCCCTGTGATACAGGAACTCTACACCTAATAATGTGATCGTGGCTGAGGCGAAGGTTGTGCATTTGAGGGATCGAGCAATGATGTTGGGCGTCAATTTTGTGAATAAGGCGATCGCTCATAATCGTAATGGATTATGTGATAAACTGCGAGCTCTACTAGACGGCGAGAATTACATCCGATTTAGACAGCCCACCTATAAGCCCTCTCTTCTTGCGGAGATCTGGAGAAGGGCTGCTCGATATCAGCATCTCATTGGTCCGGTAGATAAATATAAGATTTTCCAGGAAACATATAGTGCCCACACCTTCAAACCAACGGTTGACCTATACATTGGTGCTGTAAAAAAGTGCAAAAGATTTTCAGATCGCTCCCTCATACGTAAGATCACTGAGGGACATCAGCTGGGTACGGAGCTTGTTATTATTTTTACGGATAGATCATTTAATGAATCCTCAAAGTCCACAGGCGCGAGCATCGTTATATGTGACTCAGATGAGGCTTACAAAATAAGCCTCCCTAATCTATGTTCTTCCTATACTGCCGAGGCATTCGCCGTTTGTACTGCTCTTCGACTTGTGTGGCAACGATGTGACGAGATGAGTAACGAGATAATTATCCTATCAGATTGTCAAACGGTCCTTAAAGCAATTAAAAATAACCATTTGCATGTACACAAAAACAAGTATGTTACGGAGGCCAGAATTCTTATTTATAAATTGGAAAGATACCACGGAAAAAAAATTGTACTAGTATGGATCCCGGCTCACGTGGGAATTCTGGGAAACGAGATCGCTGATGGATTGGCTAAGGAGGCGGCAGAGGAGGAGGCCGATCCCACCATTTGTCCCGGTGGGGGATCTCATGGCGCAAGCCAGGAGGGAGGCATGGGAATCGACTCAGACGTCGATTTCGCGCGAGGCGCAACACAAGGGCATTTTCTACTTCGAACTATTCTATGACCGAGAAGCTACGAAGCCATGGTTCCGCAAAGTTATCGCTGAGAGATATTTTATTACTTTTATCAACAGACTCAGAGCCAATTATTATAACCTGGGAGCTTCCCTTAAGAGAAAAGGTTATGTTGACAGTGAGAGATGCGAGTGTGGCTGTGAATGTGAAGATATCCATCATTTAATATTGAGATGCTGTAAATACGACGAGCGAAAAGCTACTTTGGACCTTGAACTGAGAGAGGCCGGTTTTACCGAAGAAATCGACATTTACCGTCTCATACAAACAAAAAACTGGGACATTTTGTATAGGATTTTTAAATTCGTCAGATCTACGGGCAAAGTTATATAACACTAGATACAAATAATCTTTTCAGTAGTACATAGTTTTTAATTATTCAGTCTTATGGATTAAGTGATTTAGTGTTAGAGCCACAAAATCTTTTAGGTTTAGATTATATGTGCCAATTTCCATGAGTGAATAAGGCACCTAACCGTCCTCACCCGAGGACATCATAGAAAAAAACCCCTCACGTTCGCGCGTAACACCGTCGTCTCTCATCGTTAAATACTACGATCGTTTAATTCCGAATTTTGGTCGAGTCACGCAAGGATCGAAGTGCCAAGAAATTAGGATGTGAGTGTTACAAGAGGCGAAATATCAGCGGGTCGGAGACATGTAGTGACAGTCGTGATCGTTACTATGTTTACGCGAGCGTTACTTTTATAGTAACTTACGATAATTCACTCGTTTACGCAGAATAAATTATCATAAGTTACTACAGAACTCCCATTCCTATTCCAACCCAAGTGGTAATAGCTTCTTCATTCTCCTTAACAAAATTATAATATTACAAAGAATCATTTCATCATTCTTCTGTATTTTCTACTACTATTTTATATATAATTCTTTAAGATTTGGTTGATTAGACCCAGCTTTATACGCGATTAAAGGTCCATATGCGAAGTCCATATATGGACCATGTAGCCTGCAATGAACTCCCAAAGTCAACATCGATTTGACATTGTGTCGATTGTAAAACTTTACTTATGCTACTAATATAACCCTCTATCAATTCATAAAAAAATAATTTAAAATTTAAAAAAGTGTGCAAATTAGAAACTTGCACATTGCTTCCTCATCATACAGATCGCTACCATTGCTCTTATTTTATTTCGCTCATAAAGCTTCCCGTATGAGGAAACCAAACTAATAAATATTCATAATTATGCATCAAATAAAATACAAGCTTCCTCATAAGAGAAGCTTTGTGAGCAAAATAATAAAGATCTGTATGATGAGAAAGCAATGTGCTAGTTTTTTATTTATATTTATACAATAGCTTATGTACTAAATTTTGCGTTTCTTTCGCAGTGGAAACTATGTCCACTTTGTCCGTGCTTTCCATCTCGCATAATACGACATCCCTTCAAGAAAGGAGCCTCCTACCTCAAGTCGAGCGGAAATAAAACGTATTACCATCGTCTCCAATAAACGCTGAAGATGCAGTCTCTAAGAAAGAGCCGAAATGTTCGTTACTTTTGAAACTACATATTAATTTCTTTATTTGCGCACCACGTACCGCGTTTTAACTTGCATTCGCCGTTAGTTAATTATTTGTTGACATTTTACTACATATTTGAACAATATATCCCAAACAGCAAAATATATCTGAGATATAGCCAGATCTTTATGCCTACAATTTCAAGTCAAATCTGAGATATCTTATTTTCAAATATTCACAGAATATCTGCAAGACATCATTACTCAATATCACATTATATATTTGAAAAAGACATCTCTGCAACATTTGCATTCGAATATATGGCCGATTCACAATTACCTCTTATATTTTATAAAGATCAACTCAAGTTTATTCGTAGCCAATAAAACAATCCGAGAGGACTTGGACGCCGTACGGATGCGTCCCAACGAAAGCCACACGCCGCGAGGGAACTTAGAAAATTATCACCGGGCGGCGCCGGAGGTAACGACCGCGGCGCGAAAGCAACTCGCCGCGAGGGGACTTAAAAAACTTTTGCTGGAGCTGCGCCGGAGGTAACGACCGCGACGCGAAAGCAACATCCCGCGAGGAGACTTAAAAAATTTTCGCTCAGGCGAGCGCTAGTAACATGCGCTGCCGCGACGCGGCTACATGTGCCAGTATCTTCTCGTAAGCAGAAATCTCTACGCACTAGCATAAAAGGCGATCTTGTAAGATACTTAGCTCTAATATTTTTCGTAATACCTCCGATATATCATACAGTGCAGAGATGGCAAAATGCAAAATATTGGAATAGTATCGAAGCATAATTTTGAATTTATTGCGAATTCTCATGAAAAGAACTTTTTTTATATTTGAAGAAAGACTCAGAACTGGTGACATAAAAATGAATTTCTTTTGAACTCTTAAGAATCATTTTAAAACAGAGAAATAAATACGGAAAAAAATTGATTTTATAAATCGAAAGTTTAAAAAGAATTCTTCTTTTCTTCTTGCTATTTGGGTTGTATATAACATATCTGCTTTTAACTGAGGCATAGATATCCGATATATATGCAGAATCAGATATCATATCTGAGATAAAATTATCATGGGTTTTTATAATCTTGGAAATGTCTCTGAGATATTCTCATGTTATCTTGCGCAATCAGATATTCCGTCATTCAGATATCTTCTAGATATCTTGGTGATATATTTTGCTGTGTGGGATATTTGTACTATTTATGCTTTTACCGCTTTACGTTTAATTGAAAAATTAAAGCAGTTTTTTAAATATTGCTACTTACCCAATTTCAGATTAACTTCTTCCAAAGCTCTCCTACCTTTTTTGATTATATCTACTTCAAACCATTTCTCCGGCCTAAAGCCGTGATCAAATGTTTCAATGGGTTTTATGTATCTACATTCTGTCATTTTATCTCCCAACACATCTACAATCTATAAACCAATATACATATGTATACACATATACATATAATATTCCATTAAACACAAAATATCATATAATATAATAAATATAATGTATGGAGATATACATGCATACACGTAAACCTACTGTTTCTCTATCTTATAGAAAAAAGAGGAGAAAAAGAGATTGAGGAAAGAGAGGAAAAAAGAGGCAGAGAAAAACGAGAGGGGGGGAAAGGGAGGGATGGGAAAAGTAAAAACAAAGAAGAGAGAGACACAGAAAGAAGAAGAGAGTTGGAAAAAAAGAGGGCGAAAGAGATGGGAAAAGGTAAATTCAACTTTCTAGAAAAATTAATATAAAAAATCCAACTAAAATTAAAAGGTATACATACAGCGTTCTCTTTTTTTTTGTTAAGCCTTCCTTTATGCTTGATGCGATATCTAATCGCCACTTCTATTCTTATTATTTTATTTAAATTCACAGTTGTACATATAGAAACTACATTAGTAGAAAATGCAGTCGAGAAATTCAGTCTATAACAACCAAAAATCGTTGATATGTTCTACATTGATTACATCTACGATATATACTAAAGATATATATGTAATATATTTAATATATATGCTTAAAACCAGAGTTGGGAAGTAACGTATTATTTGTAATACCGTGTAACGCCGTTAGAGTACCTTTTTTGAAAACGGATTGGTAACGGCATTACTTTTTTCTATAACTGTAACATAGTTACAATTTTTTAAATAAAGGTAACAAATTTAACAGTTACTTTTATCGTTACTTTTTACATTTTGAACCTATTTATAATATAACTTCCATGTATTTAATCTTCAATTTTTGGCTAATGTTCTGCAGACATAAATATAAATAATGACTTTTTTATTTTTTTATCGGCAAACGGCAACTGACAAGGGAACATTCCGAACCCGAACTTTTTGATTTGAATGAACTTTTGTGGATATATATAGTGACTCAATACTTGAACAACGGGGTATACTTTATTCGTGTCCTACCGCCTTTTAAAGATATAATTTTCAACCTCAAGTCAAAAGAGCGCTTCCACTTTTTGGCGTATAACTCTTTAACTACAAGAGATAGAGAAAAGTATTATAAAAAAGTAAGAAATTAATGATAAGTTAAGGTCTACAAAGTGACATAAACAAAAAAATTTGGCAACATTCTTTTTGCAATACAATTTTTTTAAATTTTTATTTATGATACTTTGTAGATCTTAACTTATCATTGAACTTTTATTCTAAACATTTTTTTCTATTTAAACAGAAAAAATAACGAATCGTTACTTTTTAGTAAAAGTAGGTAACAGTGTAACGGTAACAAGTTATGTTTAAAAAAATAAACTTTCCCAACTGTGTTTAAAACATAATACATAAAAAGATAATATATGATACACATTAATGAGGTATTGAAGAAAAAATTATAACAAAACAAAAAGCATAATTCGGTTTTAACCGATTTTTACCTAACAGTATATTCTGATAGATCATGGCATACTTTCTTCGTAAACTTTTTGAATTTTTGCAATATCTTCAAAATTAAAGAAAATATAGTACACGAAAATGTGCTGTGACGTCATAGTGTCGCTGCGAAATATTTTGAAGTTGCCGTCATCAAAGAAACTTTAGCAAGCTATAACTTTCTCAAATTTAGGGTTTTTTTAATTCAAAAAGTACTAAACATCGGCTTAGATTCTCTACATTAATTATGGATACTTCTTAATAAAAAAAATTTACGTTAAAACCGAATTACGAAATGCAAAGTTTTACCTGGGTCCAATTTCAATAACAATAGCATGGTCTTCAGTATCATTGAACGTACTATCGCTTCGCAAACATTCTCCTTTAAAAGGAGGTGACAAGATCCATTTTAATATTCGGACTTCATCTTCCTGGAGTGGTTCAAGTGTTTCCACGTAATAACACAGTTCGGTCTCAAGATCGGTCACTGAGGCTTCAATTTGCGATACTTTGTGTAATTTATTTTTCAACTGACCTGTCTTTAAACCAGGTGCCTTGTAAAACTTTAAAATAACCATTTTCGACGATCTGTAAAAACACAACGAGATGCTAATGAAGCATACAACGGACACGCAGAAACTATTTGAAAATACAAATATCAAATTACGATAGCTTTAACCATATCTAATGTCGTTCGATGATAAGCAGAGACGATATCGTAGACCCCTTCAAAGCTGAAGTTTTTATTATAGTCTTGTATCTTTTTTAGTATGTATACGGATTGGAAAAGATTGACGTAATATATATTACATGATAGAATTTACATTACATGATAGAACCATTCACAATAATAAAGTTAGTGTGCTCAATTTAATTCAACATTGTTCAATATTCAATTTAATATTCTTGTAATATAACTCGCTTCAAATAGTCATTTTGATATTACATTTATAACGAAGAGAAATTTCAAACAAAAAATAATATTTAAAAAACAACTTGTTAGCACGGTTTTATCCCAGATAGAAAACAGTTTCGCCTTCGAAATTTCAAAATAACTTTTATTTTTTTTAAATAAAATTACATATTTTAAATTACAAAAGAAATGCCGTAATCGGTCAGGACTGAATCTTGACTGCCTATATACTATTATTTTTTATTTAATTTTTACGTACAATTCTTGACAAACCACGTGCAATTACTTTCGAACATAACACAGACAGTCTTAATCAAAGTTAGAAAGGCACAATCACATAATTAAATTGATATCAATTTAATTACACTATAACATACACAAGGAAATTAGAAATAAACGAATATGAGAAAAAATTCACTCAAAAATAATATTATATAGGCAATCAAGATCCAGTCTTAACCGATAATGTTTCCTTTATAATTTGATTGTATATCATGTACGCTCGTATTTTCACTTATTTATTGTTCACATATTTTATTTACATAAATTAGTTTACCACATTATTCTATGTATAAATAAAATAAAATCATTAAGAAAAAGTAAATATGAATAACGTTCAAGTCAATATGAATAAAGTTTCAAAATCCCCTGATATACACTTATAAAAATATCTCGTAAAACTGATAACAACTGACAACTGTTATGTGTACCTCCACCATTTCTCCATCCACTAATCTGCATTGGTCAGCATGATTGATTTCCTGAATAGGGTAGACCGGGGCACGTTGTCACACATTTTTTTCAATATTTTTTGTATTTTTTACATTCAATATTTGAAAGTACTGTAATATGCCAAAATTTCAAGTGAACCCTCAGCTTCAATTGGACAGTATCGATTTTTGTGTGATTGTTACTCTACAATTGTTACATAACAATAAATAACGACAGGTCGCTTGTGACAACGTGCCCCGTTGACCGGGGCACGTTGTCACATCAAATGTAATTGCATACAAAATGTTATCCAAACTGTATTCAACGTAAATATCAATATATTATAGTGCGCTGCAATGTAAAAAAGTAAAATCCTTCACATAAACATTTATTTTATTTCAAAAAAGTACAAAAAGCACGAAGTTTTCATTGAAACATTGAAACTTATAATTAATTTTTTGTATTTATTGTTATAAATTACTAAATATCACGAGTTTTGATTGTTAGTTTGTGATATTACGTATTATTTTTTAGTGATATCAAAATTGTATTCGTGACAACGTGCCCCGAGGGCATTTTTTTACTACAAACAGCCTCATGGCTGACACGTTTGAGATATTCATATAAGGTAAGGTATTGCACGCGGTAGGTAAAAGTACATACTTTAAGATAATATAAAGGTCTATTCTGAAAAAAACATAAGCTTCATGTCCAGTACGTTGAATATTAGACAATAAAATTTTACTTACGGTCGCAAAAAACTTTCAAATTGATTTTACGTCAACACGACTGGAGCAATCTCAACACTGTAAACACACCAAAGATAGGCACACACTAACACGTTTTGGGAATAACGGGTGCTGCCCTCTGGTTATTAGTTTTTTAAATAAAGCCGATGTGACAACGTGCCCCATGTGACAACGGGCCCCGGTCTACCTTACACATATTTTATATCATCTAATAATACATAAAATGGGTCTCCTCGAATTCTTTTCACATAGATGATCGACTAACTTATCTTGTTTAATACCACCTCTACTTAAAGGATTTCTTCTTGAGAATCGTTTTTTATGACAGTTACGAATATACTCTACATTGTAACACCAAAACAATAAAGAGTTGCTATCAAAATCCATCAAATTATTACATCGAGGACAACACGCAGAACTTGGCAAAATTTTGTGATTTATTAGATAATCAATAAGTTTATTTTTATCATCACATATTCCCAAAAACTCGTAAAGCTTCATTTTAAATCGTATCAGTCTTGCAACAACAATTGACAAAAGATGACTGATAGAATAGGAGCACAAACACGCCAAATAAACCGCCAAATAAACCGAATACTACAGAATGTAAATAATCAAGGTCAGAAGCTAGTATGTATATATATAAACGAGCTTGTAAAGCACGCCACGAACCCATGTGACAACTTGCCTCGCGTGGAAAGTGTATGCATGAACTATTTCGACATATATATTAGTCATTTATGCCTTCCAATACTCAAAATAGCTGCTACATTTTCCAAACTTTTTTTGTTAATAACTTTTTAACGAATAACGAGCAACGGCTAAAACCTTCTAAAGGTCACTCAAGGTCATGACCTTGACAACATGTATCAAGGTCATTGAAATCGGTGAAGTCGCCCTTAATCCGAAGTTTTACCCAAAAAATATTATTTTAAATATACCATGACTTTTAACTGAATCAAGCAACATTACACAAAAGTAAAACTGCATTAATAATCTTAAATATTATGTACTTAAAGACTATAATTTGTGAAAGTTTAAATATATTAATCTTAAGATCTAAGAATCTAAGACTCAAAGTTTTTAATATTTCAAACAACTCTGAAAACTCTACTAATCTAAGGAATATCTAAATATACGGTCAACGTGATGCTACAAATGCTTTGAAGCGTTCTTCTTCTCTTTCTTTCTTCATTGAAAGAAAAGAGAAGAGCAATGCTTCGAAGCATTTGTAGCGTCACGTTGACCTATATCGCATGGCATGGAAAGGTCATTGAGTGATATCATTTGTTTGTCGCTTTGTAACGTTCGAAAGGCAATTCGGTTCACGCGTCAGTAATTGCTTCATCGGTGTTGAAAGCGTAATATAAGATCATAGCATATCATCTCGTAAAGTAGACTTTAATTGCATTTATAATTCACGTAATTACAAAATTATATTTTTTTTTATTAGTATCTTTTGCTTAGCTTTAGAATTGTGCATTGATATCAAATAAATTTTTTTCTAAATAATTCTTAGAATAACAAAAATTGAGCCTGATATCTCATTTACGAAAGTTAAAGCAACCACGGACATTTCTCAAAAAATTCAAAATTTTATAAAGAAAAATGTTAAACAAAAAATGAAAATAAAAAAAAAAATTTTTTGCCGATATTTAAATATATTGTAAATGTGAAGAAAATATTAGGACGGTATGCAAAGTAAACAGAATGTTAGCAATTTGCAATAAATTCGAGCAGAACATTGTGACAGATTAGCATTAACCACATTTACATTAAATTCGTGTTCTACTAATAAAATCTGCACATATAATAGCAGGTTCTCAGATTAAAATCGATTAAATCTATTATTTTTAACAAATAGATTAAATCAATACTAAAGAGACATAGTCTCGCGCCAAGGGTTATGCGACACACAAGTAGCGAAATAAAAAGTATATCTATAATACACGAACTATAAAGTTGAGTGGAGGCACGATTGTCGAAATTTTTAACAAGCTCAATCGATTGCTTGGAATCATATTATACTATACATACCAAAAGTTCCGGAACGGCCAATTATCTCAAAAAGTATTGGTTTATTGGAAAAATGTTTCAGATAAAAGTTGGAACATTCAAAGGGGGCAAATAGACGATCTTATTAGATTTTAGGTTCGGATTCTGTGTTGGGCCCCACAGTATAAAATTTGTTGCCTTTCTGAGATAAAAAATTTATTGCTCAGATCTGGCTGCGCAGATTTGGCTATCTGAGTAATAACCTCTACAAACTATGACTGCGATATAATCAGCTAATCACATCTTCTGGTAATGCCCACTTTTTAATTCGGAAAAGAAAACCTTAATAATCTATATACGGGAGACCAGGGCTAGTTGGTACATGACGCAAGTTGGTACGCAATAACTATTGTAAAAGTAACAAAAGATAATACTGTATAAAAAATATAGTATTTCCGCAAAAACATTTTGATATTTCAATTAACTATTTCAGGCTAAGTAGCGTATTTTCACAAACAGACAATTAATACTTTTAGTTTTGTATAGCCAAAAGTAAAATAAATCGGTGATATATTAAATATTATTAGGCTAGTCAATTTACGGTTTTAAATCGAATTTGAATTCGAAAGCTTAATTTATGCGCCATTCAATAGTAAATATGGCACTGATATAAACATATCAAATAACAAATTAATCTCGCTCAACTAAGCAAAAGCTAAATAATTTAAAACAGCCAATTTTCGAGCATTTACAAGCTGTTAAAAATATATTTAATAATTTCAATAATAGTATACAATCGTTAACGTTTCGTACCTTACTTGGCTTTCTTCAGAACCATTAAAAAACTAAACGCATTACAAATGTCTCGTATCAATATCCAATAAAAGAATCAGAGTCGACGCATTAATTTACATTAAACACAGTAGATCTCACCCATGAATATGGACCAAATAGTCAAAGGCCGGTATTCATAGTCGGATCTTATATTTAAGATCGTTTTAAGTACGATCTTAAGATGTTATAAACCAATCACAGAGCCGTATTAGCATCTTAAGATCGTACTTAAGACGATCTTAAATATAAGATCCGACTATGAATACCGACCAAAGTGAAGTCGGAGAATACATTGTAGAATATTCGTCAAAATTACATACAGAATCAACCGTGTTCTTCGTTGCACGACTCATGTGTGTCCGTGAAAACCATGTAATTGAGAAACTTTCTTTGTCGCAGACCAACTTAATGGCAAATATAAGACATTTTTTTTTTTAATCCCGTAAGAAACAAAGTAAAATTATATATATTAAATTAAGACTAATCAAGGGACTCACATAAGCGGTCAATACAACCAGAACAAAGATAAAATCTTTCCATCGTCTTCCTAACGCATGTGATCGTCGCGAGGGATTACAGGTGACTGAATTCGCATCACAAGGGCACAGCAACCAATAGTCCTTGTTATTAACAAGATATTTACAATAACAAATTCAAAATATCAGAATAGACATCGTTCAATAATTCAGTGTCCTTGTTTAAATTTATCTTTTTTTGTAATTTTGTTCAATTTCTAAGATGTATTGTCCCAATCAAATGAATGATTGAATTTAATTATATGTTCTGAGTGAGACAACCGAATGTTTGGACTCATCCAATTTAATATTGTTTTTATGTTCTTTTAGTCTAGTATGTAATTGCCTCTTTGTCTGACCGACATAAGAGGCATCGCAATTCTTGCAACAAAATTTATATATCACATCGTTATTCCAAAAATAGGAATTCTTATACTTCTGGACTTTAATGATGCTACTAATAGTGGAGGCAAATTAGGTTTTTATCAGCAAGATTCGGAATCCAAAAAAGGTGGAAATTGGGCGTTGTCGACTAAACTGACGACAATGTCTACTAAAATAAATTCTGACAAAGTCTGTATGTTAGATAGTTGTTCGTCTGCTCATATGACTATGCGAGAAGATTGGTTTAATGATCTCGATGCTTCAACACCCAGTAAAGAAGTTACGGTAAAACTGCAGATTAAGGGCAACCTCACCGATTTCGATGACCTTGATGTATGTTGTCAAGGTCATGACCCCGAGTGACCTTCAGAAGATTTTAGTCGTCGTTCGCTATTCGTTAAAAAGTTATTAACAAAAAAAGTTTGGAAAATATAGCAGCTATTTTGAGTATTGCAAGGCATAAAGAACGGTAATTATGCAGTAATAGGGACCACCCTCCGATGACCTTGACTTTGACATATGTTGTCAAGGTCACCCTCCTGAGTGACCTTTGG